AATTGTGCTCTAAGTAGAATGAACCCTACCAGTATTCATTTATCATTTTTCTCAAATGTAGGTGGTTTTCAATATTGGACGAGTTATTCAGATCAGACCCATGGGGGCTACACATGAATGAAGAAACTCTTTCCTTTCGGGCTTAAGGAAAATAGGTTCCTGAGCGCTCTCGAACACGTTGCCATCTGAGCTAGGCTGGAACCCCTTCACAAAACTGTAAGCGAGGGCAGATAGGCTTGTCTTGGATACGCCATGGTGGTCGCAGTTGGTGGCAAATTTTTGTCGACTTCCACTACGCGAAAGAGACGGTATTTGGGCTAGTGTTCTCACCATCGTAAGCAACTGTCCAAGTGAACGATCAGTTCGAGGTCCACCAACTACTTCATCTCTATTAGCGGGAACCGATCCTGTGAAAAAGCAAATGCATCCTGCAACCAATTTATCCTATTGACCAGGCGACCGTGGTACTCACGAAGGTCCCCTCAACTTTCTATTCGGAAAAAATGCTTACATGGGCTAATTAGGGAGCATATTTTCCAAATCCCAACTCCATAAGATAAGGTCAGCTGGAAAGCGGAGGTGAAAATCAGCGAATGAAGGTTCAGCGGTGAAGTCTAATGGGGCCATTTACTCACGCATTACCCAGCGGATGGTAATAACTCGCCCGATACCCCCAAAAAAGCCCTTGAATCGTCAGAAATTAGCCTCTTTTGAAGAGCCGATTTCCGACTGCTGCCTCAGTGGAAAAGATTCTGCATTTCAATTTACCCTCTAGGATTATTACATACAAGGGTAAGGCACTATGATTATAGGTAAAAATCAAGTAAAACTCACCAGCATAGGACGGTTTTGCCGGCTCTGGATACGCAATAACTTGTGGTTGTGGTCGTGATACAGGTGGAGGTGGAAGTCTTAGTGCTGAGGATGGAGGTGATAGTGGAGGCGATGGCGGTGGTGCTGGTGGCGGAAGTGGTGGCGGTACCGGTGGCGGTACCGGTGGTGGAGGTGCACCTATTGAGGGAGACGGAGCAATCGCAGCTGATTCCATGGCATATTGTCCTGCTACGACCGCTGCAGGTGCCTGCATTCCCAGTCCTCCTAGCCCTCCCGCTCCTCCTAGTCCTTCGAAGCCTCCCATTCCTCCCATTCCTCCCATTCCTCCCATTCCCCCCATTCCCATTGGACTACACATGACTGAAGCTCCTCCACCACAACCTGGGGCTGACGGTTGCCTGCAACAGGTAGAGATTCGATATCGAAACTCTCGTAAGAAAAGAAGAAGAACATTCCTTCTGAGTCTCACCTACAAAGACATTTCTCATCTATTGAGTGTAGGAAGTGATTCTTCGCTAGTTAATACTCAGTTTGCACAATAAGCTGACTTCAATCCATAGATATGACAACCCCAGATGTAATGTGGCAACAAACACCCTCATCCTTGGTCCTTCTGTAGCGGTTGGGGATGAACTGCATATACTGAACTGCTCGCTTGAACTCGTGCAAAAGGTGGTCTGCATTTTTAAACAGCACTCAAGTAGAAAGCTTCTTTTCGTTATGATCTGTTGGAACTTGGGTTTTTATTGAGGTGATGAAGACTTTTACGGTGATCAAGTCAGCCTGCATTGAACGGAATGATTGAAATTGGTTGAGTAACTAATAAACTGCTCATCATGTCAGGTAATGGAATAACGTAATAGTGCATTCAGCGGGGGTGGTGCAATGGCAAGTGGCGCACCATCGAAATGCGTGGTCACGGGTTCGAAACCGGATTGATATCCGCTTAGACCAACCAAACCTTACAACCCGCTGGGGTCTGTTGATTGGTACCAGACTCGTCTGGGAGGATAGAAGCACTGACTTGTACATCGGCAGGCCATCGCAATTCATTGTATAGGCCACATACGCGTTCACTACGCCACTACCATTCTGAATGGAAGTCGAATGCGTGGGCTAATCCCTCGGAGGGGATGATTAGCGCCCTAAAACTTTATCCTTTTGTCCTTAGATAATTTGGTGTTGCGGAAGAGCTCTTTGTGAGTTGTACGTCATCAATCAGGGATCTCATCGATATGTCCTTCTTCCAAGAGTACCGGAAGATACATGGTTCCCAGCAAAAAAAAAAGATTTTAGAGAGAGCCATTTGATATATCATGGGACCGCTAAGTGTTTCCGGAGATCCACACTTAGCCCCACAACAATCTGACTCAGAAAACCTGTTTTGGGCATGGACGTTTCGCTTCAGGAAGGATGATTCAACGTTCTAGCCGAATAGCCCTGCACATCAGGCGGTTCCTTCCGTTCCTGCTTTTCAAACGACATTCAACGATCGTGGCCTAGGATTGTTTCCTCACCGCAATCGTCATTCTACAAGATTTACGAAACTAGTTTGGCATGAACGAAACGAACGAGATCAGCATTAACCGATTCGACAAAAAAAAATAGCTAGTGCCCATGGTCAGACGTTATTGCCCCTATTCAATTAGAAATTCTTGGATGGACCGGCTCCTACTACGCCATGAAGGCGATATAACGATGATCGTTGAGGAAATAAAAGAGTGTGGTCCTTTCCTAAAAAGACCTCTCAAAATGTAGTCGAAGGCTGATGAGCTGACTGTGGCTATTCGAATCAGTAGGGCAGCAGAGATAAAATGAGCCGCCTCTTATTTTTGTGAAAAGAAATTCTAGGAGCTGAAGGAATCAAATCAGAGCCTTTTCCAGGAGGGGAAGTGGAGTGTGGGAAGAGTTACGGGACGAGCAAAAATGAGAAATAAAAGCAAAAAATGGTCACGCTACCGAGCTCTACGAAAAGACCGAAGCTGAGAGGCGCCATGCACCACCTGAAGAAGTCATCATGCTTTTCCATACCCTAACAAATTAAATTAGTGCGAATACAACGATCAATCATATATCCCGGACGTTATCGAAAAATCTGGAGACAATGAATGAGTCGGTTCAGGACGTTTTTTTCGAGCCCTCACTTATTTCCATGTCGTTGTAGTCCATGCGCAACTCAGTAACCTAAGTAATAAGCCGGTCCTGCCACCGGTTTGCTATTCGGAAAATGGGGATATCGCCCTCGAAGAATCTCGATGATGAAAACGTTCTCACTAGATAGGCCCAACCGTCATGGCGCCAATGAACGAGAGACATATCAAACTTAATGGGTGTAAGATTTGAGACCTTCAACGCTACATTCCCCTAGTTAGCCGATCAAGTCAGATACTTTGCAGTCTCAAGATGACGTCGAGCGTAACATCCCTGTTCTTCTGTTGTCAAGGCAGAAGTCGACGGATCATAAGGGAAGGACCACCACTAGTGCCATGTCACAGCGATTCTTGCAATTTTTTGCAATTTTCTGCGCTGGTAATCCTCCAGACACCTATTTCTTTGGGATTAATTCTGAATCTTCCAAAGACCCCTTTTTGGTGAGATGTGTGAGGTAAGAGGGTAGACGTGGTTGGAGAATCTCTAGGGATAGTGCAACCCGCCGAACACGGATTGAGTGGGTCAAGCTTCTGAGCCGGAGGCGGTTGCGAGAAGCAGAATTTTTGTGGTTTCCTTGTCGTCGAACTCGGAGACGAAACAGAGAATTTATCTATCCTTCTCTCAAGGAATTATTAAAGAAAATACATAGAATATCGGTCGAAATTTGAATCTACACAAAAATGAAATCAGGGCTTGTGCCCTTTGACAAAATCCTAATTTCCATTTTTGGATATTCAATAACTCATAAACTTGCCTTGACAATTAATTGGGCGAAGATATAGTACCCCGTTTCGAGGGTTTTTTTTTTCATTATGGGCGGAAGATATCACTTACTCCTGCTGGTCTGAGGTTGAGCTCTTTAGTCCTTCAGACAGTGCTTTTAGCGCATTGCCATTGATAAAATAACATCGTGGACGACTTTTTAATGTGCGCCCAACTGGTACGGAAGCGTCTGACAGAAACCCCATCACAACGGCGATTATATTAATTACAGATCGTCCTCCGCTTAAGTGAATTGACAGCTTTCAGCACACTTCCTAACCAACATTTCAAGTTTGTGGTTTAAAACACTACCACAGGAATTTCCCATGTAGGGTGGTAGGTGGAGGCACCGTACAATATTCGTAACTATTTCATGTGATAATCGGCAAACTAAACTGCGACTTGAACCAAAATGAAGCCGACAAATCGAAAAAACAGACCAGTTTATATCGGGTGATACATTGAGAAGCAGGGCTGTTCCCAGGTTCAATTTGCAAATCATTCAGATCATTCTGTGGAGGTTACGACAGAAGACGTGACGTGTGGGTGCAGTACGTTGCGAGGATAAACGCCACTATTCACATTCTAGAACCCCATTTATGAAAAAAAGGCTAGATTCTCTAAAAAGTTCGCCTTCAGGGATAGTGCCTTCCCTTGAAAACTAACTTCTGATGGGAGTACATCCAACTGAACATGAAAACCTCAAATCACGTTGAATCAGCGATTTGACCAGAAAACTGGATCTCATTGAAGCAACAAACTGCCCCATTGGCCCTGTTTTTATGAATACGGTATTCATATGAAGTGATAAATTTACGCTTTCAAGGGATGATTGCCAGACGCCTTTGCAGCTAACAGATGCGGTATTCATGTTTTATCAGCCGTGCAATTCTTGCGACCAGACTCTAGCACAGCCATATGTACCTAACCACGAAGCCATAGTACAAATAGAATTTAGCTCAACTTTTTGATGAAAGACGCTGTGGGGTAAGCACAGGGTAGTAGAAGGGTAACGAGCCATACTTGGCGTAAGTTGTAGACATATAATAAGACAGGCTCATATAATTGAGCTTCGTATAACTGTAAGATTATAGAAGGCGTACGGTAATTGAAGGGCCTGCATCTATCTTTCTCAGCACTATTTTTGAGTAAAATTAAATCGGCATTTATGACCATGTCGTACTCCGAGATGAGTCAATGTAACACTGAAAAGGCACAAATACTGTGCATTACGTGAATGGGATAAGTTCGCCATTCGAGGAGGACGCGAAACAAAAAGGAAAAAGGAGTAGAGTATAACATGAATGAATTTGAGCCATAAATTGAGAGTAGCGATTGATTAATTTGATTTGGAAGTTACAAAAAGTGCTATACAGATAATGGCGTGTTACTTCCTCGTTAGGATCTTTAAGCATTTGAATCTACGAAAATTCAGAAAAGAATCTCGTTCATGGCGCAGTGAAGTAAAATGGATGCCAGAAGATTGAATAAAAGAGAAGGAGACCGGGTAAGTAAACTGGCAGCTTTCGAAGATGATCGAAAGAACTTCAAAAAACAGCTCTAACAGCAATTTAAACAACAAATAGGACCTACTGGCAACATTGTGAGCCGCCTCCAGAGCCGCCAAAAAGACCACCCAAACAAGCCAAACTTGGTGCAATGAGTTCTAGCAGTAGCTGAAATTGTTCAAATTTATATTTGAACAACTAAATGTACATACATAAGCGCGAAATATTTCCGTTACCTAAGAATAGAAAAATATTCGTAGATCGAAGTACTATTTTTTAGAAAAATACCCTAATTATATGGTTTTCCATGGCTTTTCTACTATTTTTTTTTCTAGTTCAGTCAGTGGCCCATGAATTCAGTTCAAGGTCCCCCATCCAAGAAAATTGGCACCGTACTATCAGTGTTGTGTAAGTTCATTGAACAGACTGGAGTTCACCACTAAAGTCAGTGGCCCATGAATTCAGTTCAAGGTCCCCCGATACAAGAAAATTGGCTTCGTACTATCTTATAGCACATCTTCACGAAAGAACCCCACTACAACAAAAACGATAAACAATACCAACATAGAAGATACTCGCAAAGAAAAAAGAAAACAAAAGGTTGAAAAAAATAATCGAAAAAATCAAAAACCTAAAATTAAACTAAATTTTTAATAGAGGAAATACACTTACCAACGCTATCATGTCTTTCTCGGCACTAAGACAACTGTACGTCCACCGGCTCGAAGCTTTATAGCGGGTGGCCGTGGTGAACCTGAAAATCGTCCACGGTTCCAGTTCCAAGCTCAGAAAAAGTGGCAGAAGCCGACGAAGCAGCCTTGAAAGTGGCGAGCCTTCTTCAGTGATTGCATCGAACCGTGATGGTGTCATAGCTGGCCCCAGCTTTTGTCCATGTAGCCACATCCATTAATAACCATCCGATGGGGAACGAGGGAATGGTATAGAATTGTATAAGAAACGGCCGTCTACTAGATAGTATGGCTATGGCTGTGGTCATTGTGTCGAAGGAATTCCAAGACTGGTTTTGTAGTTTGATTTAAAAGACGGATTGAGATTAATGGGGAGCACCTACTGGGCGGGTAACGGTACGAGAACCTGACCTCCTGAATAGAAGCAGGTACCGCTTTTCTTTTTCTTGCCCTTTTCTAGACTCTAATTGCAAAGATCACCCAAACGTGTCCCTCTTACATAGGAGGGGCCGACTTGAAGGATTCTGGCTCAAACTGCTGGGCTCTTCTGCTCACCTTTGAAAGCCGGTAGTGCTGCAACATGTTGTGCAGATATGCTCTATATTTACACTGTACAGGATGTTGAGCTCGGGAAGAAGGCGTCCAATTTCGTGGGTGTGGAATTTCTGAGGCTGAGAAGGACACATTTCTTGAGACTACGGAGAAGAAGAAGCTAATATGACAATTCCATGTTCTGACCCCACCTCCCAGCGGACGTGACGGCACAGCGTGTTAGAAGTGTGAGGCAGGTGTACGATGAAGCAACGTCTGTAAACATTGTCATCGCCTGTGGTTTCGGTGAATGTTTTAGATTACTATTAGTTTGAGTAAGTATTATCACTCACATGTTGACAGCATATTAGAGCGTAACTTTAGATGAGACATGAGACGTGGAAACTCGCCCACCAGCGGATTGAATGAGTGGCAGGAATGAAGACCGCAGGAATGAAGACCCTGAACTAGAGACTTCCGTGGTTCCGAACTTATACTTTTACTCCGAAATCACTTACAATTAAAGGAATGCAACCAAGATTTCGTTGAGCATATTCATGTTTCGAGGGGAAGGTAACGGTGGTAGAGAATAACCTTTGCTGCAAAAAGTTTGCATTTTTAGATTGAACTTTTCTATTTCATTACCTACCTCGAAAATAAACTCACCAAGAATAACAGAAACCGCAGCAGGGATGTCTCTATATTCGTCCACAAAGAATAGCTTTCCCATCACTTAATAGTGGCTTTCATTGAAGCAAAGCAAGGGGTTATCGAGTAACATTATTATTCAGTTAATTAATTTATCGTTTTTCTATCAGTTTATCAACTCTTAAAGGGTGGAGGTGATGTAGTGGCAAGTGGCGCATTATCACACACACACACACACGCATGGTCTCGGGTTCTGATCCGGGGTAGATATCCGACTGGGCCAACTAGGCCTTCCATCCCTCGAGGATCGGTTAATTGGTGCCAGACTCGCCTGAGAGGATAAAAACGCTGATTTGTAAATCGGTAGCCACCGCAAGCCATTGTATAGGGCAAATACGCATTCATTAAGCCACTGCGCTTCTGAATGGAAGTCGAGGGCGGGGGGCGCATCCCTCATGCGGGATTGATTAACGCCAAACTACTTTATTTTTTATCCTTACACTTTATCCTCATTATTAACACAGGAGTGAGATCTGGACATGATCAGGGTCGAGGATGGCACATGTTATTATTTTGTCCTCAATAGCCTAGGAATGTTCGGGAAGTGTTAATATCAAGGACAAGGGCAACAATAGTTAACTGGCACCGAAAGAAAACATTGGTAAACATAGAGAATGTTTATTTGCCGGCTATTTATTATGATTAGTTGCGCAGGAACGAGTATGAATCGACAGGGTAAGTACTGAACGCAACCATACGCTACTGACAAATAAGCAAACTGATTAAAATACATAGTAGCCATCTTTTCAAGAAAAAGGTCTATACCAATCTAAACATTACAGTAACTACAATTCATTACAGACAGTAAACAATCAACCGGTTAGAGTTGCTGAGCTGCCAGCGAGGAAACGGGAAGTGAGTGAGAGGGGAAGGCAGTTACAGAGTTCCAGAGTATAGTTTTTAGCACATTTCAAGGCTGAACAGCTGACCACCAACTGTTTTTGGGTGAAGGCCAAATCAAGTTGAACCAGTCATGGTAATGGATGGCTTCCCTGTGAACCATGAGAAAAACCTTGGAAAAGCAGCGACCAGAAACGTGCCGTTATTATTGGATTATCATTGGGGATTTACTTCAGGGGATCCTCTGTTATGGAAAGTGATCTCAAGTTTTTGTGTACCCATGAGGATGAGGAGGAAGTGAGAATGTGTCCCATGATGCTCCTAAGTTACGTCTGGGATCAAACTCCTATTCGATACCTGCTTAGACCATCCAATTTTTTTATCACCTTCGGGACAATAAATCAGTATCAGACTTGTTCGGTGGGATAGATGCACTTACGTACACAACGTCGGTTGGCCGCTCCGCCCTCATTCGCAACGATGGTCGTGTTCAGAAGATTGATAGACCCTCAATAAAATTTGCAGTCGATTTTGAGGAAGTATCAAGTTTGCCAAGAGGATAGAACCTTGCGTGCTCAACTGGGGCGGGCGACTTTTCGAAAGTGGTGCAATGAGAATCACATCCTCCTCACAGGATTGTTGAAAAACTTTTGATAAGGAAGCCTTAAGGGATCGCAGATTGTAAGACAACTCTAGCAATAGCGGTGTTGGGAGCCATTCTCTCCAACTGCATGGAGCACCCCATATGCGAGCCCGTTTGGGGGACTCCATTGAAAAGTATGATGATGATCGGCAGCTACTGAAAAAATGCTTATCATAGCCGATAATATATGAAATTGGCCTGCTTGATATCCTTGTTTGTCCAATTTCATTCCATCAGTCATGCTTGTTTCTACAGAAAGCAATCAAATGAAGAAGCTGGGAGATATACAATCAGATTTCAAGCTATAAATTTTGTTCATAGCTTTGAATCTGGTGGGAAGCCTACGATTTATCTCCATCATGAAATGGGTCGTTAAACGAGTTCTGCACACATCTTTACATACAAATCCTTTGCATAGCTGAAACAGATGGTGGTCCTTTCAATTCTTTCACTAGTAAAATGAAAAATCTCAATCTGTGGGAATATGAAGACGATTTCAAGTGTTTCAGACAAATCAAGTGCACGATTCAGAAATGGAAATCCTGCCAAAGCATGGAAGGTCCTTATAGAGCCCTTAGGTCTGAGGTATAGGGTATTGAACAGCATTTTGATGAAGTTCGGATTGGTAAACCTGAATAACTCAAGGGTTTAGGAGGGTCAATGATGAAAAGTGGTTCACCACAGTTTTGGTACATCCAATTGAGCGAAGCGGAGGTTCATCTGAATTCATGGGTCGTAGTGAACGAAAATCCACTCGGACTCGCCAGACTGGAACTTATTGCTGGATTCGGACCATTTCCAAATGCAGGGCGATTTTCCTTCATCCCAGACACGACAACAGTATACCTAAAGGCACAGTTGACGACATCTTTGAGTTATCCAATTTGAGTGAAATAATGCGAGTCACGGCGCAGAATAGAGCAAAAGAGGCGAAAAAACCGAGAAGTTGGTGAACTTCGACGTTAAAGGCTCCAAGGCATTATCAACGTAGTAACGAAGTGGCTGTATGAATTTACGAGAACATGACGGACCAGAGTGGCATAAAGAGGGATTCATCAACAAGCTGTAAGCCGTGTGCTGTGGCGTAGACCTGGTTCCAGTAAGCACGAAATGGCAAAAATTGCCTTTCATAGTCTTTATAGGGATCACTTTAGACCCATCCTCAAAGAGTACCACAGGAATCCCACGGGACTCACTTCTATTTCTGAGTTTTCATGATAGTGACAAGTGATTCAGCAAGGATAGTGCGAATTGATCTATCGAAGCTCTCGATTTCACTTATAGTTAAATCTGAAAAGAAGGTATCTCATAATGAAAGCAATTTTTCTGGTCTCAGTGGTCTTATTCGGATTGTCCGCGAAAGAGCCGGGTGACAGAAAATGTTAAATTTACGAGGACTGGAAAAAAGGGAGCTTGTCAGGTGTGGAAAGTGGAATAATAAGTGGAATTGATTTGGAAGGCTTATATCTCTTCAGGCCTCATTCAAGCCCAAGCAAGCAAAAAGGAAAACAACAATAGGAATCGCCTGTGAGTTGTCATATGTAAAGGCAAATGTCCATTCCCAGAAATATGGGCTTTCCGATGATATTCGATAGAAATGGATTGCAACTGTCTGAATAAAAAACCAAAAAACAAAAAGGAGACGCAGCGGAAACCACTCGAAAGCCGAAACTTGATCGGACTCGAAAACAAAAAGATGAAGGAATATCAATGTTCTATGCGCTTATCTGTTGTTTTGAAGCGTATCTCTTATCTCAAGTTTCTTCCTGAATCATAGGGACCGCGCCAAATAAGGCGCAAATAAGTAGCAGTTTTGCCTTAGTTTGGTTATTGGATTGTTTCGTAATAATAGCTCTCGGTACCATTTAAGCATGTCTTTTTAATGGTGAGCAACTCATTTCAGATGATACCAGTAGCTGGTTACCACGGGCTATTAGATAGAGGTCATACCATGAAATTATATAAAAGTCGTTCGCAGTAGAAGGACCAAGTAGTAGCTTCTGGTCCGTAATCACGCGTCATGCTTTTTGTTTCAATAGGTGTGAGTACCTCTTCCCAAAAATCGTGCTCGCCCCACTTAATCGCGCGCAGTGACGCATTATGAAGAGAAAAGTTTGAATTCCCAGTTGCAGGATACTGTTATCGTTGTAGAACCGCTGAAGCCCACCGTGAAAATTGAG